CGCTCGCCGGCCACCATAGTCTTCGCGCCCGGCTGGCGGGGTTGCAGTCTTCCCCTGCCGTCCGCGCCGCTGCCTGGGGCCCGGCGGAGCGCGGCAGACAGGGCCGCCGCGGGGGCCATGACCGTGGAGCAGAACGTGCTGCAGCAGAGCGCGGCGCAGAAGGTGAGGCGCGGCCGGGACGCGACTCCCATGGCCCCGCGTGGCCTCCCCTCCCGGCCCGACTCGGCCCGGCCCTGGGCAGCAGCAGGAGCCGGGTGTAGTTGGAGGCCGTCGGGCCACTTCCTTCTGCGGAGAGTGGTTTCTGAAGCCCACGGTGCGGGCTTCCGAGAGTGGCCCCCGCATTCCTTTAGTGCTTCGCCGGTCTCCTAATTAAACTTTATTACCCCCTCGCTCTCCTCTGTCGTTCCCTTTCCGTCGCAAGAATCTCACTTGTCATCCTTTGGGAACAGTTTCTGTGTCGGAGGTGCTGTTCTTCCAGGCCTGCTGTTCCGAAAAAGGATAACCCAGATGGAATTCCCTGTCTTTTTGGGCAGGCACATCGACCCAGGGGGCTCTTAGTACCAGCTGAGAGGATTCAGTTGATTTCCTTTTCTTTCTTCTACTGTAGAATGTCCCACACGGAAGGAAACCTTTATGGCTGTTATTGGAATCTTTTGTCCCCTAAGTTTGACCTTGCTCTCTCGTTCACCCTTTACTCTTGAATTAGACATTCTCATGGTCATTCGCTTAAGCGAATAATAAGAATAATAAAGTATAATCACATCTTTAGAGTGACTCCTGAGACAGTCTCTTGCTGGTCCAGATTTTGCTTTAAGTGTCTTGAATGCTCTAGCATGGCTTTCGCTGTGTCCTGAAGAGAAGTTGCTCATGACTTGTCCCCCCCCCCGCCCGCCGCCCCCCCATTGGTGTGAAATACATTTTGAGCACAGGAGACACCTTGCCTTAGTCGTGTTGGAAGTGTAGGGGTAATTAGGTTTCCAGTGGACAGCCGAAGATGTGTTTGGCTTATCTGCGTGAGAACTGAATGCCCCGCCCTGTTGTAGTTCTTGGCACACTGTTCTTGAAGTCTACCTGTGCTCATCTTTAAACGCCTGTTGTACTAAAATACACCATACATGCAAATAGCCTGCTAAATGTTTGCCTTCAGACTGAATTTTAGAATTTTATACTACTTGCGATAACTGAAGATGCTGAAGAGTTTTGGGAGGCAAGGATAGTTGGAGGCAAGGATATTGTTATTTTCGGCACTTTGCTAAAGTTGACTTTAAGTTCATTTTAGTTGACGTAACTTGTGAGTTGAGATGATTATTGCAGACTGCAATTTATTTGCAGTACAGGAATTCAAGATTTAATAGTGGGGATTTGAAACAGTTTACCTCTTAATTCTGTGTGTTGTGTTTTGAATACCTTAAGCTTAAGCTTTAACTTTTGATGTTAACTGCTGGAGTTAAGACCTGTAAAGAATCACAGGGTCATAGGAATACAAAGCAGTAGATTTGGTAGCATTTTGTTTATGCTTGTTTTCAGTGCTGCATTTTAAAGCTTGCTTATTTTTAAGTGGGAACTGTAAGTTTCTTTTTTACTTAAGCTTGTGGATTTTTTAAATGTTCATTTTGACTAAAATAATTCTTTAGCATAGAGTCAGATAACTGGTGTCTCAGAAGTGTATCCATAAAACTGTAGAATCAAGACTCAAATTACTGAAAGTGATCTGGGTTTTCAAGTCCAATATCCTTGTCTAATGAGCCCCCCTCCACACAAAGGTAGTACTTTTTAATTCAAAATAGTCACAGTATGATGCTGTTTTTTTAACGTGTTACATGTGTTGTTAGATAATTTCATTGATATTGGCGAAAGATTTTAGAGCAACATCATGCATTTTTATACTTTCATCATAACAGATTTATTTTTAATGGTGTTGGGGATTAAACCCAGGACCTCATGGTAGGCACCAATTGAAACACATCCCTTGCACTGTTTCCTTTTTTTCCCTAAAGAAAATGTAAATGTGTTTTTATTTTCCTTGTTAATTCATTGTTGCTGTTCCATTGGTAATACATTGTTATCAGTTCATATACTTTGTTACCAATATTAAAATTGTTAAAAAAAATAGTTTGCTATAAATGCTGGAAAGAGTCTAATTCAAAGTTGAAGATTTAAAACCATGCTAGGAACTAGGAAGTAGACCTCAAGGTCGGAAGTAGGAAGTGAACTTCATAGTTTAGAAGAAACAAAAGTGAAACTTCTTTCGGGGACTTTTGATGAAAGAAAGGTGCCTTTGTGCAGACAGAAATTTTAGCTGGTTTTCTTCTCTCCTTTAAAGAATCCTGTGAATGCTTACAAATTAAAAGTAAATGCTAATATTATGGTGATTAGAACAATTTCCTCTGTCTTTAGGACTCTTTTTTTGCATGGGTCTGTAAGATCAGTGTTTTTTTTTTTTAATGGTTTTTTGTTAGTTTATTTTCTAAACAACAGTACACAAAATTTTTTAGAATGTTTGTTCACCTACAAAGTACCTTGTGACGCTGTGATAAGAAGAGACAAGAGCTGTCTTTGCCCTTTCTGTGTGCTCTGCTTGACTGCTGAAGTTTGGCCAAGCCAGGGAGTTATGCTATGTAGTCAAACTGAAGAGAGCCAGTTTCCTGAGGTTGAGATGTTATAGGTAAGGATTTGGCAGTACACAAAGTACAATTAAACCTGTGGTCACTTTGTTCCTGGAGAAATCTTCAGTTTCTGTGCTTGATATTTACCTAGGTGTTAGGAGCTTTAATCTTAGAAGAAATTTGATCCATAAATTCAAGCTCCAAATGAAGGTTCTTTAGGCAAGGGTTGGGATCTTCCTCCCAGGAAACATAAGATAACTTGTAGGTGAAGTAAGCAGGGTTGTTTACATGAAAGCATCCCTGGTGAGTGATTTTCCTGTATTGTTTCATGGTAGGACTTAGAATTGTTTTAAGTCCTTAGAATAGGACTCAGTAAATATTCAATAAATGAGATAATAAGTGGATGGTTTTCAGAAAGAATACAAGCACAGTACTCCCTAAGAAAAAATTTGGCATTCTCTTGTTGACAAAAACTAAAAACTTGAAACTGTATTCATACTAAGAAAATCAGCAGTGCTAGAGAAAAGACAGGTTGTGAAATTGTTCTAAATCACCTTTCGATGACCTTGGGCAACCCATTAACTCTTCTTTTGAAGCTTTAAACTTTGTACAATTAGACATGAGCAACTTCTTCAGATCTGAGTGTTTAGTGGAGCTAAGCAAGCATTTATTCTGTAGAAGGGGGATAAAAAATAAGTTGTAGAGGATGGAGGCAGATGACTCTTATGGATGTACACTGTCAGCTTTCACTTCATTCCATCTGTGAATGATGGAGGATAGTTGGGAAGTATTTCAAAACAGGCCAACCAAATTCAGAGTTACAGTTTGAAAAACAACACAAAATGGGTAGGCTTTTTAGTTAAAACTGAATGTAGTGCTTTCTAGTTTAAAGGTCATCTAAAGATCTGAAAGTATATAGTACAGCAGTTGACAGTATGTTTTAAATGTTAGATAAAAGGGACATTCTTTACTAAGAAATAGTTGGTTGTATTGTTTACTAACATACACTTGATCTGATTCTACTGGCTGCTTATTCCTTTTCCTTTTGTCCTAGTTGTGATTTGTGTGCTAACACTTTATGAAATATAACCTTCATAATGATTTCTTGTCAGTTCTAATACATTTTTAAAAATAATTTTCTTTATTCTGATCTGTTCATTTTCATTGTAGGATACTACTAAGGTTAATGAGAGTTTCTGCTGTGTTGCTTCATCGTGTGATAGAAATTTCCTTATATGATATTCCTGAATTTTTAGAGTATTTTGAAATCAAATTTAAGAGTTAACTCTTTCAAATGGTTTTCATGGCAGTGGGGGTTGGGAATCATGAATTTATACTTTGTTTAAATAAGTACAATAATTCAGTTCTATTAACATAAGTGAATACTTACTTTGTACTGTCTATTGGGCACTCTTGAAATTTTCCTAATTTAATCTTCCTATACTCATGAAGTAAACATTATCTCCCCACCCCCTTGCTATAGCTGAGTTTAGAGAACTCAAATAATACTTGGTCCTTAGTATGTGTTGGGGGTGGGACTTAAATTCATGGCCAAGTGACTCAAAATCAGCTGCCCTTAAGTACAATGCTAAGTCTTATCCACTGTCCTTCAGTTTCTGGAGAAACTACTGCGGCCATGATGTCATTCTTTTGATGTGTTTCCCAATGTGATGCGCTCATATTTAATGTAAAGTATAATGTGTGAATGCCTATGTATATTCTTTAAGGAGATGGTAAGATTTACTTGTGTTTCAAGATAAAGTCAGCACTCAGAATGATAAGGTTTTTTGTGTTGTTTTTTGTTATAGTTTTTGAATTATGAACAAAGGCTTAGGTTGACATGTTCAAAATTAATTATTTTGATTTGAAAATTATGTTTGGTTCACCTTGGGTACTTTTTGCATTGAGGATTTGAGGAATGTGAGAGTAACAGGACTGAATTTAGTGGGAGCAAATTTTATTAGAGCAATTGTATTAGAGCAATTTATTAGTAGAGCAAATTACAGATAAACTTTCTAAATTCTTGCTTTATTGTCATTTTTCTGAGAGTCAAAGTTTAAAAATGTTACTTATTAATAGTACTAAAAAAATCTAACTAAAAAATTTTCATTATGTTATGCTTTCTGTGTTTCTCAGTCTAGTTTTCTCTTGTCTGTACGTATGTAAATATATCTCCTTATCCACTTACTTTATCCTTAGCAATGTTTGCTGGCTATTCTGTACTATTAGTCTTTCAAAAACCCAACCCTTTGATTTGCATTTTGTTTTCTAATTATTAATTTTTATTTTGTCTTCTAATAATTTCAGCCTTTTATTCCTTTTGTTGTTTGTTCTTATTATACCTTGAACACAATATTTAGTGCGTTTTCCATCGTATTTAATATTGAAAAGCAGTTGGGGTTGTGAATTTTCATCAGATCTTGTTTTGGAATTGACTTTCTTTTTTACCCCCATATTTAAAGTGATTCATTCTCACATTCTCATGTTTTCTCTCTTTTTCTACCCCCTCAACTTTCCATGATGACATTTTAATGTTTTTCATTTGTGTCTGCATCT